CGAACGAGGCATTATACATCAAATTGTCCTTTTTCTGCATAAATCTTTGGTGAACAGCAGTTTTTTTCCCCTTATTAGAGCAGCAAACAGCAGAGCAAAGCTCGGTACGTCTTCTTACGTGGCCGCCATAACTGTAAGTCTAAATTTCTTTTAATAGAGTTTTTTGGTGATTTTTATTACAACTCATTACAATAATGGTAAATGTGACTGGCTACAGAAAATCCAAAAATACATCTACTTCGGGGCGTTTTGAGTTATTTACATATTCTGAAAGTGTAGATTCCAAGTTTTCAAAAATGATATCAAACAGGAAAATAAAAAATAAATAAAGAGGTTATGGCCATTTGAATGTTGGCACTCTGGAATCCAAATTCCTGAGAAGATGGCTCTCAAAGTTTCTCCCAAACCTGTTGAGCAATCTGGGTGTTAACGAATGTTAAATTACTTGGCATTAATCCCACCTGACTGTCAACAATTTTGAATTTTAGTGTAGTGGAGTAGAGAAACAGAGCCTGTAACTTGGTTATGGCAACACCAAAAAAAGTCTGTCACACCATTATCCTCTTCTGTGCAGTGGCTTCCCACCTATTTTCGAACATTTGGAAAACATCCCACATATGTCATAAACATTCAGTGAATGCTTGCAGACACTGTTGACTTGTTTAATGACAGTAAAGATTAAAGATTACCAAGGCAGAAGTAATGATAAAAACTTTATTTTGCTATACATTTATGCATCTAAAAGACAATATCAGTAAAGCTTCCATTAGAAAAATTTAAATGGGAAAAAGCATCAATTTTTAATGCTTTGGGAAAAGACATTAACAATTAAAAAAAAATTCAAGGAGATGTCAGATTTAATATTTTGATATTTTAAGGTAACAGATGGACAAAGTATAGTTACTTGCAAAATTTTGTATTTTAAAGACTTAAATTGAATAGCAAAATCAAATAAATAATGTATATGTATGTTAGAAAAATAGTGAAATCCATTGAAATTGACACCTTGATGCTGTGTGTAATACTACTGATTATTAGCAGCATTTCACTGTTCTATAAAAAGAAATCTCTACATATTACTAACATATTCAGCCTGCTCAATTTAGGCTTCACACTGAGGCCTTGGAGACGTGAGCTGGGAGGAATTTCACATGCCATGATGTCGACCTGGCAGCATGATGGCATGGTTTCAGCTTAGCTCTTAATAAATTCCAGAACTCTTGTTGATGTTTTCACAGTTGATATATATGTATACTGAACAAAAATTTAAACGCCCCATGTGAAATATTGTTGCCATGTGTAGTTAACAACTGTAAATGAGCATTTGATGACATTTTATTTTTACAAAAGTAATATTTCTATTGATATGTGTATCATTTTTAATCCAACCTGCTGTCAGTGAGCATTACTCAGTGAGTTTTTTTTTTACTCAGTGCATGGGTGGGGCATGTCCAGTGGGTGATCAGACAAAATGAGCAACAACTGGACAATCCTTGGACTTGGGTCAACAAAAGGTCACTTCAAAATGTCAAATTTTATCACAAGTCATTATATCGCAAATCACTAGCGGAACAAGTCAGCGTCGGGCTGGGGGGCGGGGCCAATGACCGGGGCCCTCACGTGTATCACCTGCGCTGCTGGAAACGTTTGGGGTTGGGCCAGGAAGCACATTGGCTAAACCATGAGTGAAACAGTCACTGGGACTGACTACTATATATTCCATCGAGGGACAGTAACTTTAACATTCTGAACAGGCGAGGGCGCACTTTAGGCCCTAAGATACAGATGCGTCACAAAAACAAACATTTTACTTTTGTGAAAATTTTCACTCACGATAATGACTAATGTGAGCCCTGAGCTTGTTTCTCTGTAATTAGACGGTCCCTTCTGGGAGTGATGGGAGACAATGAAACCTGAAGTGTTGCTTATCCACAGCATTCTTGGTCTCAACGTGGCGAAGCAGTTTGAAGCTTCATTGCCTCATTAGCAGCCGGTTGCCGCATTTTACGCAGAGCGGGCTTGTAATGTTTGACTCACCTACCAATCCAGGATAAACCATCCTCCTGTCTCTTCTCTGGGCCTTTTCCCCTTCGCAAAGAAACTTTCCAAAGACATCTGATCTGTTTCTTACTCATTTTGCTGCTTGTGGGCTCAGTGTTGGCGCGCAAGTAACTGATTGAATCCGGTTAAAGGATTTTCAAAATAAAAGATCCTCCAGGCTCAAATAATACATAAAACGGAAATATTTAATTATTTCTTGCGCGGCCTGGTACCAATTGGTCCACGGACCGGTACTGGGCCGGTACCGGTCCGTGGACCGGGAATGGGGACCACTGCTTTACAGTACAAACCACAGGGTGAATATAGCAATATAAATTATTTTTCCATGATGACAGGTGAGGCTCTGCCTCACCTTCATGTGACCACACATCACTGATATCTATGTGATATATATATATATATATATATATATATATATATATATATATATATATATATATACACACACTCCATATTCCAAATCATTATCCAAATTGGATTTAAATGTCATAAAAATAAAATTTTTTGTTGTGCTATTAAATTCATTGTGTCTCAGGGTTCTTTGAATATCTATAATTAATTTCAGAGACCTGGGTTGATTAGTTTGCCAGGTGAGCTCAATTAAAGGAAATCTTCTGTGTATCACCAATCTGAGTACACCTCTCACATTTCTGCAGATATTTAAGTATATCTTTTCATGGGACAATTCTGACAAAATGACACTTTAACACAATGAAAAGTAGTCTGTGCAGTTTATATAACAGTGTAAATGTATTCTTCCCTTGAAATAATTCCATATACAGAATTAATGTCTAAACCATCGGCAACAAAAGTAAGTACACCCCTAAGAGACTACACCTCTAAATGTCCAAATTGAGCACTGCTTGTCATTTTCCCTCCAAAATGTCACGTGACTAGTTAGTGTTACTAGGTCTAAGGTTTGTATAGGGAGCAGGTGTGTTAACTTTTTTAGGGCTCTCACACTCTCTCATACTGGTTACTGAAAGGTCCAACATGGCACCTCATGGCAAAGAAATCTCTGAGGAGACAAATTGTTGCGCCACATGAAGATGGCCAAGGCTGCAGGAAGACTGCTAAAACCCTGAATCTGAGCTGCAGCACAGTGGTCAAGATCATCCAGCATTTTTAGCTGGGTCCACTCAGAACAGATATAGCGTTGGTCATCCAAAGAAGCTCAGTGCACGTGCTCAGCGTCACATCCAAATGCTGTCTTTGAAAGATGGGTGCAGGGGTTCTGTCAGCATTGCTGCAGAGATTGAAGAGGTGGGAGGTCAGCGTGTCAGTGCTTAGACCATATGCCACACTATATCAACTTGGTCTGCATGGCTGTCACTCCAGAAGGAAGCCTCTTCTGAAGTCTGCACACAAGAAAGCCCGCAAACGGTTTGCTCAAGATATGTCAACAAAGGACATGAATTTCTGGAACCAGGTCTTGTGGTCTGATTAAGATTAATTAGTTTGGTTTCAGTAGTTCACGGTACATATTGGAGGTCATGAAATGTAACTCCCAAACATTTGCTGCACTCTTGCAGCCCCAGACCATGGCATTCCCACCACCATGCTTGACTGTAGGCATCACACACTTATCTTTGTACTCCTCACCTGATTGCAGCCACACATGCTGGAGACCATCTGAACAGAGTCTGATCCCCTCCCTGATTGTACTGTGAAGAGATTTGTGGCTGATTCAGAACAAAGATGGGTTTATGCAGATAAAGGCATAAGGTTTCTGTTGTACAAATTCATCGGATTAAGAGAGCAGCTGCTAAAATGCCGGTGGATGACCACCACATCCAAACACGGCTGTGACGTCAGCAAGGAGGTGGTGGAGTCATGTTTTGGGCCGAAATCATGGGGAGAGAGCTGGTCGGCCCCTTCAGAATCCCTGACTGTATGAAAATGACCTTCGCAAAGTATATGGACTTTGACTGATCACTTTTTTTCATGGTTCAAAAAGAAGAGCCATACCTTCAGTAGCAAAATCATCTTCATGCATGACAATTGCACCATCTCATGCTGCAAGGAATACCTCTTTGTCATTAGCTGCTATGGACATAAAAGGGGAGAAACTCGTGGTGTGGTCACCATCCTCCTCTGACCTCAACCCTATTGAGAACCTTTGGAGTTTCCTCAAGCAGAAGATCTGAGGGTGGGATGCAGTTCATATCAAAACGGCAGTTCTCGGAAACTATTTGACATCCTGCAAAGACATTCAAGCAGAAACTATCCATAAACTCACAAGAATGGTGCAGGTGATATCAAAGAGGGGGTCCTATGTTAACATGTAACTCGGTCTGTTAAGATGTTTTTCATTAAAATAGCTTTTGATTTTAGTACATGTGACCAGTTAATGCTGAACATTCAAAGAATGACCGTTTGCAGTTCTATAAAATATTTAGAAAATCTGCTGTGCATAATAATTTGGAACAGTGCATTTTGAGTTTATTTTTGAAAAAAATACTGTTCTCATTGGGAGGTTTGTTCAGTAAAATTTGATTTATACTGTAATAGTTCATGGCTTGAAAATTATACTGACCATCATTTGCATTGACCATTTAGGAAAATCCGAGAAAATATCACTTGCATAATAATTTGGAACACGATATATATACACATATGTGTGTGTGTGTGTGTGTGTGTGTGTGTGTGTGCGTGTATTGTATATGTGTATATATAAGTATATTTTTTTTAACTCGCCTAAGACAAGAGAAGTTCTGATTAACTTCAGATAGTGAGGAAAAAATGTGTATGCATCCTTTCATTTACTTTATGAAAATGTCTGTTTTCAGCTGTCTGAAGTTTCCCTGTACATGAAATTAGTGAATATATATTATATACGTATTGATATTGTACCTACTTCAACCTATTACTTGGCAGCATTACTTTATTTTCCTGGTATGAAATGAATGATTTTGTTTTTATTGTTCAATAATTATTAGGAGGCAGACGAGGAAAAGTGAAAGGGCCAACATTTAGGATCTCTGGAGTCCAGGTTAATGCCAAGCTTGTTATCTCCCACGAAGAAGAACTGGCTCCACTCCACAAGGCAATCCCTGCTGATCCTGAGGAGAGAAAGAGGTAAGGTTTCTAAATTTATGTTGTGACTTTCGCTTTTAGCCAGTTCTTTTATTAGGCCCGAGCAGCTAAGCGCTGCGAAGGCCTATTGTAATGGTGCTGTTTATTATTATTTTTCCCGTGACAAATAAATTG